AGCAGGTCCAGGCTTACGGGGTATGTAGCTGAAGCAGGGTTACAGGCAGCATCTCCCCTTGCTGAAAGCTGCCCAAGCCTCGCACAAGCGAGGCTTTGAGCAGCATCGTGCTGCGAGCGTTGGGGAGCTCTGCTCTTCGTGTGCCAGTGAGCCTGGGGGCAACGCCGTGTGCTGGGAGCAGCGCTGCCAGGCTCCGGTGGGGAGCTGCACAGTCGTGCTGCGAGTGTAAACCGCACCCGTTCTGCTCCCGCGCTGAGGCTGTGGCGTGTGCGCGGCATTTCCTACCCTCTCTTTGCAGAGGAGTGGAGGAGGCGGCTCCAGGACTACGTTGCAGCCAGAGGAAAACCGAAATGCCCGAGTGCAAAGTAAGTCAGGAGGATGCTGGACTTGGACAAGGTGATATGTAAAGGTCTTTTCCGACCCAAACCACTCCATGATTCCCTGAGGAGTAACTGGGGGTTCCTGCCTTGCCAGGGTCTGCCTTATCCCAGCAGCCCTCTGTGGGGTCACTGGCAGCAGACGCAAAGGGATGGTTTGAGTGTTGACGTTTCCTGCTGGTTGATATTGTCCTTTCTGGGTATTTTCTGAGTCTCAAACGTTCTCATCTCGGCGCTTGTGTCTGGCAGCTCTGGCCTTTTTGCCAACAATTCAGCTTCGTAGCTGGGTCTTGACTAAAGGGTGGCTCAAGTCACTGCTGCTTTTTAATGGCAGCTTTCAGTGGGATATTATTATTAATATTAGGAAGGGGCATTTTCAATGCATTTAGAAAGAAAGAGTCTCAACCATGTGTTCAGGGAGTTACCTGGCTCTGCCCTGCTCGGTTCCTCTGGAACCAGCCTGCGTGAGGGCAGCGAGGCACCTTCCCACAACTCTGATGTGCTTGGCAAACCTGAACACTTGAGAGACTCCCTGTTGCAGTGAGTATTCCTCATGACATTGTAGTGCAGGGGAAGCTGTAAAACTCCTCCGTGGGGGAGAAGATAAAGGGAAGTGGGATCAGAGACCAGAAAGAGCAAAACAGTCTCTGGTACCAGGGCTCTGGAAAACACCACTAATGTAATAGAAATGAGGAAAGAAGATTCATGATCTTTCTTTATGGCTTAGTACACCACTTGCACAGAGAACAATCCTCTAACTCTCCAGGCTCTTTCATTACAGAAAAAGATCTGCACAGGCATTAATCTTCCCTAATGGCTGAGCTGCAGGCTCCAGAGCAAGGGCTGGGAGAACCACATCACTGCCTGCATTCCAGGGAGGAGCCTCTCCCACCTCCCTGCTCTGCTTCCAGTGCCTGGGCAGCTGCAGGGCTGCAGCTTGCTGGGACACAGTGAACTGTGGCTCTGGGATGCTGCTGTGACCTGCAGCGTGGCAGCAGGAGCCTCCAAACCTGCAGGAGCTGTTGTGTCAGTGAAAGCCAGAAGTTTTGTGGCAACCTTGGATGTCAGTCATAGAATCATGGAATAGTTTGGGTTGGAAGGGAACTTCAGAGGTCATCTATTCCAACCCCTTGCAATGAGCAGGGACATCTTCATCTAGATCAGGTTGCTCAGAACCACATACAGGATGCGGCATCCACCACCTCCCTGGGCAACCTGTGCCAGTGTTTCACCACCCTCATTGTAAAGAATTTCTTTCTCACTTCCAGTCTGAATCCCCCCTCTTTTAGTTTAAACCTGTCACTCCTTGCCCTGTTGCAACAGGCCCTGCCAAAAAGTCTCTTCCCATCTTTCTTATAGGCCCCTTTTAAGAACTGAGAGGCTGCAGTAACATCTCCCTGGAGCCTTCTCCAGGCTGAACAACCCCAGCTCTCTGAGCCTTCCTCACAGGAGAGTGTTCCATCCAGCTGATCATTTCTGTGGCCCTTGTCTGGACCCTCTACAATAGGTCCATGTCTTTCCTGTTCTGAGGACTCCAGAGGTGGATGCAGGACTGGTTTGTGTTGCTTTTTGTGCACAGTCTTTTGTGCTGCTTTTCTGTTCCCATGCAAAAGAAAAAATTAATACTACGTGGTACCTCCTTGACAGCTCTTTGGTTTCCAAAAGCTTCTTTAAGCTCCTGTGACTAAGACAGCAGCAGTTTTGATATTTTACCTTTTGTTTTGATATTTAACCTATTTGGTATTTAACCTTTTGGGCAATAGCTGTTAAATGCCTGATCTCTGTTTGACTTCTTACAGACCCTTTCTAAAGGACCGGACGAGTCACCTGAATCCTCCCTTAGAACCAGTTTCTAAACTGCAGCATGTAAGTAGAGATCTTTTGAGTCTAATTTTGCATTTCATGCTTTGTCTGGGCCAAACAGGGTCAAATCAGGGTTGTGAGCTCCTGACCCCAAACAGGGCACAGTCAGCAGCCTGTTGTGTTCCTGTTCTGTTGACAAGCGCTTTGTCCCCCCTGGGCTGGGGCAGGAGCAAGCTGTTGGGATGTGAATGAGCTGAGCTGAGGTTCACTTGGTGTCTCCAGGTCGACAGGAACAAGAAGGATGTCAGAAGCGTGGCGAAGGGTGACAGCGAGCTTGGTGCCAAACCCACGCAGCGGGCTGGCCACGCCGTGCAGCAGAAGCCTTCCAGCACATCCCAGAGAGCAGCAGTGGCATGTCCAGAGCAGCCAAGGAAAAGTGCGAAGCTTCCTACGAGCCACCCTGCACAGACCAGAGCAAGGCTCCCAACTGCAAACTCTGGTCGCCTAAATCCAGAAAGGAACAAGGAGCCTGCACAGCACCTCACCGCAGCACCTCAGACTGGACGTGACCACCCCTCTCCTGGGACATCTTGCTCTCCAGATGAGGGTCTGGAGGACAGGCTGGTGTGCAACAGAGAAAATGTCCATGCACAAGCCTCCACATGCACCTTGGCTCACAGGCAAAGCTCAGCCACGATGCCAAGAACCATCATGGGCACAAAGGACAGAATGAAGAGCTGCCGGGCTAAGGAAGAGCCAATTCAGGACAAATCTAGGAGAACCCTGCTGGGCTCAAAGAGCACGTCTCAAAACCCAAGCATCAAAATTCAGCTGCTGCAGTCCCCTTGGCCACTCACTGCATCTACTCATTTGCTACGTAAAAACCCAGGGGCAAAACCTACCCCGGGGCAGCCGCTCTGCGCGCTGCCAGTGGGAAGTCTTCAGCACCAGAGTAGACCCCCCCAAATGAAAAGGTCTCCCACAAAGCCCCCGGCCTCAAGCAGGCCCTGGGGCTCCACAAACCTCAATGCCAGCCTGAAGCCGGGGGGCACTGTGCAGTGGCAAAGGTCCCTGGCTAAAGGGGAGGTGGGCAGGAAGGAGGTGAAGGCGGCGCCTCCCGGGCGTGCAGCAGCATCCCAAGGGACAGTCCCCCCAAACCAGCCTTGCAGCACACATGGCTCCAAAACTCAAGCAACTGAAGGCAATTTTAGGAGGAGAGAGGAGCTTAAAGCAGAGCTGTGGAAGGCAAGTGGCGTACAGGCGAGGCGTGTTCCCAAGAGCCTGTCAGCAGCAGATCGTAAGTAAGTAGCAGCTTTGGCCAACTCTGTCCTTGCTTCCAGGGGACAGCAGAGTTTAAAGTGTTCAACAGGGTGAAACTGCAGCAACCTGCTGAGAACAAGGTCTGAAGTCCCCTTACTAGTGAGCTGTGTGGAGGCTGGTGTCACAGAAAAGGGGAGGCTGGGTTTGAGGTTGTACCTTGGGTTTCTCTCCCACCGACTGAGGATAGATGTACTGGTTCTTCCCAAGCTGCTGAAGTTGGCTAGAGGGAGATTCCAAGGGAAGACAGTAGCCTGGCAAGAGCTGGTGGTCTGCTGGGGTGGTGACAGTGATCCCTTGGTCCTTTGACAGGAAGCAGCTGGAGGAGTGGTTGGCATCCAAAGGCAAGACATACAAGCGGCCACCTATGATGCTGCTTCAGAAGAAGGCAGTGAAGCTGTCCTGCAGAAACATCAAGGAGAAAGAAAAGCTGGAGAAACCAGAGGAGGTCTGCCTGAAGATCAACAATGTATTAACTGAATGCTTGAAGCTCATTGAAGAGGTGAGAATGGGAAAGAAGCTGCTTGGATGGACTCCTCTTCCCCTGGAGCATTGAGGCACATGAGGATAGGGCCACCTTCCCCCAACAGCACAGAGGGGGTTGGAGCAAACATTCATGCTGGGCTGCAGTTGCCAGAGGGGTAACATCACATGCAGGAAAGGTCCTCAAGGAGTTATGGATAGGCCAAAGGCACACAGTGAGATGGGGAAGATGGAGCCATACCCGGTCACGGGGGGCACGTGTGTGTCATTGCTGGTGTCCTGGTGGCTGGCAGGGCAGTCTGCAGCAGGAGCTTCTGCAGCAGCAGCCCAGGCTGGCTGCAGAAGCTGGCTTGAGGCACATCTCTGGTGGACATCACCCCCTGAGGCACATCACAGCCACTGTACAGTGTCACCCCTGGGAACACTGAGTGCCAGCCCTGCTCTGGGGTTTGGTGGCTCCGTGAGTGCCAGCCCTGAGGAGCTTATCCCTCAACATCCCTCTGAAATGCCAGACTCATTTTACACGGGAAAATTGAGGCAGGAAAACCGTTACCTGTCCCCAGCCATATCAGAGACTTGCAAAACCAGCCTCTTGAGACCCTCCCTTTATCCTAGAGAGCGCTGGGAGAGCGGTTATGCACTGAGAGCTGCCCGGTGCACACCTCTGGCCCTTGCAATTGACGCTTGTCTCTGGGACCTTGCCCTTCTCACAGGGTGTCGAGACCGAGGACATCTCGGAGGTGCTGTCCCACGTGCCCCAGGCAGAGAAATTTGCCAACTTCTGGATCTGCAAAGCAAAACTGCTCGCCCGGAGCGGCCCCTTTGACGCGGCAGAGCTGTACAGAGCCGCGGTGTGCGCGGGTGCTGTGGTGAGTGAGGTGCATCTCCCCAGGTTCCCTGCCTCTGCACAGGCAGGTTTTCTCCAGATCCCAGGGTTGGATTCTGGGATGACTTTAGCAGCACTTGTCAAAAAGCACTTTAGAGCTGCTGGTCCCATCTGGACCCCTTTGGCTTTACTCAGCCCAGCCAGCGGGTGGGAACGGGGCCAGAAGTACTTGCACCCAGCGCAGTGTTGGGGCTGGAGCTGGAAGTGATGTGCCAGTAGCTCAGTGCTGGTCCGGGCAGCACAACTGCAGCAGGTGGTGGGGTTTGTGGCTGAGCCTGAGTGCCAACAGCTCGCTCTTGGAGAAGGGGAATCCTGCAGCCTTTTGCCACTGTCTCCAGCATGGATGCAGCAAAAAGCTTTTCTCCTGTTCGGTTGTAACTCTGGTCTCCATTCCCAAGTCAGGCCTGCCTTGACCTACACTCTGCTTTCCCTGCAGCCGCTGCAGGAGCTCAGAGAAGTTGTCCTCGATATTCTGAAGGCTGCAGACCAAACACCAGAAGGTAACACATGTGTGCGAGGCCACTGGAGCATGGGGGCAGGCTGGGGTTCCCTGTTGCTGCAGGCAGGCAAGCAGCACAGTTTGCAGTCTGCCCCAGCACTCTTGGCTCTGATGGAGACTGAGGGCTGTGAAAGTCCAGAGTCTTAGTCTCAAAAACGGGGCAAGATTACTTTGCCAGGGCTGGGGATGGTCCTGGCCCAGCATGGTTCTGTAGCAAGACACCCTCACCATGGCTGGAGCATGGGGTACGCCCTCCCCAGCCACCCTGTTCTACCCTCTCTGCAACTGCACTGCCCTTTGCCTCTCCTGTCAGGGGAAAAGGCTGAGCCAAATCCTGCAGAGCCCACAACGCCGAGCCCAAGCAAGAGGCAGCACGTGGCGGTGACTCCCTACCTGCCAGGCAGGACCCTGACCAGCCTGCCTGCTTCAGTCAAGTTACAGGTTACCTCTGCACCCAGGTAAGGGCTGAGCTGCTCCTGGCAGCAAACACTCGCTGTGCCCCTGCTCGCTGCAGGATTTACCTAAAGGCCTCTTGTTTTCCATGCAGAGGAAGGGAGCTGCTGGAAGGCCCAGAGCTGAAGTTTCTGACGCCTGTGCGGCGCTCGCTGCGCATCGAGCGGGTTGGGAGCCGCTACCCAGAGATGCTGAAGGACCATGACCCTGTGGTGTCATCCCTCAGTGAAATCCTGGATGCTGAGGAGGAGACTCAATTCTTCTTCCGGAAAAACAAGGCTTTGCCGGAGGTGGCGGAGCTGGAGGGGCTGAGTTTGTATTCCCCTGAGTGCTGCTGAGGGATTCCCAGCAGGGTGCAGGCTGTTTGCTGCCTTGCACATGCTCCAAGCGCTTCACAGGCTCCTCCTGTTGCCTGTCAACTGTAAATAGATAGGTGTGATAAGCCTGTTTCAAATATATAAGCACTGTTCTAAATATATAAAATCCCTCTGTAGGGGTGCAGTGTGGACTGGGGGGGGATTGACTGTGTCCCCTGGGCCTGCTTTTGGCTCCTTGGCTTTGATTTTTCCTGTGACAGGATGATGTCAGTCTGGCTGCAGCACCTCAACTCCCAGCCTGGTTTGGGTTGAAGGGAGCTCAAAGCTCATCCAGTTCCAGCCCCCTACCAACAGCAAGGTC